TTAGGTAGTGGTGTGACTGAGTGGCCATGGGAGGTATACCAAGTTGGATTTACGTAGAAATAGCATGGTTATGACATCTGCCACAAAGTAGATAGCCATGGCACGTACAGTCACGCTCTTTCTTGACCTTCTCGATAGCCTTTCCCTTTCCCTTCTCTTTCTCCTTCAGTCGTTTGAACGACTCTTGGATGGCTATGATATCATCTCCCGCTTTCTTTATCCGTTCGAGAGTCTTCTGCCGCAGAGCTCTTAGTTCAGCTTGTAGAGCCTCAAGATCATCGGTAGGTGGTATAGCGTCGGTGGGGCTCTTGAGTAGAGAGGACCGAATCGTTGGCGGGAAGGTATAGGGCGTCACACCGGACGACATGTCGGGCATTAGCGGTTAGGACCGCAGCGCAAGAGCACAGAGCCCGAGTTGGGTCTATGCTTGCTATCCGACGTTGGCTACAAGGCTGCAGAGCGGTGTGGCCGACCGCGGTGAACGCGGGTACGTTGTGGGCAGTGAGCAAGATCGGAAGCGCCTATACTACGGGAATTCCTTAATACTGCAATGGGTCGCGATATTCCCACGTATAAGCCGCTAAATAAGGTGTAGTATTCTCACGCTCTGCCCACACGAACACCCATAGCGCCTACTGCCCGCCGCCAATTGCAAAGCAGATCCCGCCGCGTGGTGACTTACCATTCTACCACCACCGTCTTTAGCAGGTGCGTCCAGCACCACCATTTCTTACTGCTCAAGTCATATCATAGTGAAGTTCTCATCCTTTAGGTTTCAGACGTGCGCGTCTCGCACTCCCCCGCTGAAATTTGTCCTGAGTGGGCATGAGCAACGGTGTAAATCATGAAACTCCTGCTGTTATATGCCGCCATAACTTGTCTTCCGAGCTGCTATGCATCCTCCGGTGATCGCTCTCATATCTACCAGGACTGCGTCTCTCGCTGTCACACCCAGTCTTGTGCCGCTGGTCCCGCGGACTTGCCCATCGCTCTCCGTCTCACGCGCTGGACTTGCACTGACGACTGCAAGTATCAGTGCATGCATCTCATAACCGATGCAGCGATAGATACCGGCGAGCGGATACATCAATATCATGGGAAGTGGCCGTTCTGGCGCTTCGCAGGTATGCAAGAGCCTGCGTCGGTGGCGTTCTCGCTTTTGAACCTGCTGTTCCACGTGCGGGGAGCTCAGCGGGTCAGACAGCGGATTCCTATAGAGCACCCTATGAGATGGTACTATCTCGCGTTCTCCGCTGTCAGCGTCAACGCTTGGATCTGGTCATCCGTTTTTCATACCCGAGGTCTGCCGTTCTTTCAAGCTCACCCGGGATATATCTGACATGTCTCAGACTTGCCTACGACTGAGAAGCTGGACTACTTTTCGGCCGCCCTCGCAATTATCTATGCGCTCTTTTACACCATAGTCAGACTCTTCCACCTCTATCCAAGACGCACACCACAGCATTTTCGACGTCGCGCACACCACATATGGGCGACCGTGTGCTGCGTGGCATACATCAGCCATGTCACGTACTTGACTGTCCTTCCACGGTTTGACTACACCTATAACATGGCATTCAATCTCGGCATTGGCATGACACACAACGTTCTATGGTTACTGTACTCCCTTCCTGCCTCGCTGTCTCTCGTGCGCCGCTTCCCTGGAAAACCCAAGTCGTATCGCCCAACTTTCGCCTCAAAAGCTGCCGTCTTCGTGCTGCTGACCACGGCTGCGACGGTACTCGAGCTATTCGACTTTCCACCGTGGTACCGAACCATCGATGCGCACTCCTTGTGGCACCTTGCTACTGCGCCTATTGCTGCATTCTGGTATCAGTTCCTCATCGAGGACTCTTTAGATGACAGCTGGAGAACGGCAAAATCGGAGTAGGTTCATGTAGGTACTTGTCCTTGGTATGTCAGCTGAGCTTAATGCTTTTTGCAGATTGCTTGTCTGATCTACACGACGTATGAAAATTGTAGTCGTATTTTAGCTCCCACAGAAGATAGCTAGTACTTACTGGGGATCGTCAGCCTTCTGCTGAGTTCTATTGTCAAGGAAGTACTACAAATGTTCGAGCTTGTTCCAACGGTTTCATGAGCGTTCATTGTACTGCTACCCTCCTTTTCGAAAGGGGTACCACAGCTTGTACGACGCTACCATACTTAAAGCCAAAATGCAGGGTGATCCACTTAGCGCTCGGCGGCATCTCCCAAATCGGGCGTCTACCGTTATGTGGGCGCCTCGAGATGGTAGTCTTTTCGTCATATCTTCTTTTCTCTGCTGTCATTTACCTCTGTTTTTGCCCTCTACTCTATACCCGCTCTTGTATGCTCTAATTCCCACAAAGTATCGTCATGCTGCATGGAAACTCTGTCAGAATCCTCACGGGTAAGGTATCTACCCAATTCTGTGCTGTAGCCTACGGCTGACATCGCGGGCAGGGAACAGTCATCCCGAGCTCGCCCAGGTAGTGGCCGAGCGGTGAGCTGAACCTTCCTAGAGGCAGCACCCGCACAGGGAGCCTGTCATTCATGCGGCTTTCTCTTACCTTCCGCGCAGACTCAACGTCCTCCTCACTCCCTGCACCGTCAAAAAGTTCTCCAATGGCGAGATCAACGTGAAGATCTCAGAGTCCATCCGTGACGAGGACGTCTTTATCATCCAGTCCGGCTGCAGCGATGTCAACGACAACCTCATGGAACTCCTTATCCTCATCTCCGCCTGCAAGGGTGCCTCCGCGCGACGGATCACAGCCGTCATCCCATGCTACCCGTATGCTCGCATGGACAAGAAGGATCGTTCAAGGGCCCCCATTACTGCAAAGCTCGTAGCCAATATGCTTGCTGTCGCTGGATGCGACCACGTTATCACTATGGACCTGCACGCCAACCAGATCCAGGGCTTCTTTGACTTCCCAGTGGACAACCTCTACTCGGAGCCCTTGATGATTGCATACATCAAGCGCAACATCCCAGACTGGAAGAATGGCATCATCGTCAGTCCTGACGCCGGAGGCGCGAAGCGGTGAGTGAAGAATGACCTGTCTCCGCGTTCTCGTTCTCAGTATATCTGGCTCAGCGTCACGGCGATCGCAGACAAGCTCGGCATTGAGTTTGCCCTGATTCACAGGCAGCGTACCGGGAGAAGTGAGGACGCGCCGGAGAGAATGGAAGTCTTGGTCGGCGATGTGCGCGACAAAGTGAGTCTACTTCACATCGAGACCGTCGTGTGCCTAATTGAAGTTGGCTCTCAGGTCACCATTCTCGTCGACGACATGATTGACTCCGGAAATACGCTCTCCCTCGCTGCAAAATCGTTGCAAGATAACGGCGCTAAGAAAATCTATGCGATAGTGTCGCACGGTGAGACCGGAAGCCGTAGTACCCGTTAATGCTTTGCTGACTTCGCCACCGTCCAGGCCTCCTCTCTGAGCTTAACATGAGTAAAATTGAAGAACTTCCCATCGAACAGCTCGTGGTACGTGACATCGCTCGACCAATATCAGGAACGTGCTCACGATATTTGTAGGTTACGAACACCATACCCCAAAAACACCACCAGGAAGGTTGCTCCAAACTGGTGACTATAGATGTCAGCCCGACAATCGCAGAGAGCATTCGGAGAACTCACAATGGCGAAAGTATTAGCCTGCTTTTCGGCGACTGGGCCCACGTGAATGGATATTGAATGTGCAATAATACGGAACTACCATGTACCATCGAGGCTCTGTACGTGCCCTGCATAGACAGCGTTCTACTCAACTACCTCTAGACTTGTACCATGCCTACGTGGCGCACTGTAAAACAACTATGGATCGAAAACTGAAATGCGCAATTTTTCTGGTACCTGTGCGTGTCTACGCTACGGCTACGTCCTGCCGGTGGGAAAATAAAGAGTGGGTCATCGGCGGTGCCGCACTGCATGAGAACTCGCTCCCTTGTAAGTTACGGGCTATGCTGTTCGTTCTCACTGCGCTTCTCCGGGCATCACGCCCCACCCACAGATCTACCGGACGCCCTTGGCGTCCTTAAAGGCTCGCAGGTCGGGCTTCACGAAACGCATCCGCCAAGCACCCGCCGTCCAACCACACTCCCACCGACCAACGATGCCAGCAAAGTCTTCCGCGCAGCCCCGTCAAAAGATCACGCTCACGACGACAAGTCTGCGCAATGTAGTCCTATCGAATAAGTCGGACGTGATTTACTACGAAGTGATCACGCCCAAGTGGGCAAGAGACCGGACCACGGTCAGCAAGCTCGACCCCAACACCCGCCAGTTCGACATCATTGGAGAGATGAAGAACAACGATGACGGGAAGGCCGAGGAGGTGCGGCTGTACGGGGGGGCGCTGACCCCAGCGCATCGCTTCCTCGATGGCGGGATGGACCCTGATCCTCAAGGACTGAAGTAAGTGGCCTCGTCTTTGGACGATGTGCGCGAGCTGATTACTTGTCCGTAGACGAGCGTCCTTCGTTGGTAAAGATGGAAAGAAATATATATGGAGGGCAGGTCGGAGGCGCCTCGAGGTGAGTGCTGTAAAGAAGGGCGGGACGTTTACCCACGGCAATGATACAGTTGGTTCGCGAGGACATGCCGGATGATCAGCCGGTGGCCGTTTACCACGACAAGAAAAGGCATATGTTTGTTCTGCGCATGTCCAAGCACCCGTACTTGGAGGTAGATCCTGCTGCCCTTGACACTATGGATTCCCTCATCAGTAAGTCTTGTCCCTTTCTGCAGATTACACTATGCTGAATATGCGCCTTCGCCCAGTGTCATTCCTGTTAATTGAGAGGAGACGGAGAGATGGTGGCCTTTAGCCATTTGTTCTCAAATGGCTCATGTTCATTACCTAGATAGACTTCATGCATATACTATTGGACTGCCTCCTTAAAGTTACCGCACCCTGTACTCAAGGAGTAGTAAGTACTTACCTAAGACCTTATTACTATCAGGTCAAAAACATTTCGCAAAAACTCACGTGCTGGATGCAAGCTGCCAAGAGGGTGGATCGAACACCCGACCTCCAGAACTTCAGTCTGTTGCTCTCCCAGCTGAGCTATCTCGGCTATGAAAGGTTTGGCAGCTGNCTGCCAAGAGGGTGGATCGAACACCCGACCTCCAGAACTTCAGTCTGTTGCTCTCCCAGCTGAGCTATCTCGGCTATGAAAGGTTTGGCAGCTGTAATCATCAATTCTTTACACCAGTCCAACACCATGAAATACTGAATACCCCTGTATGTTGTCAGGATTTACGAAATATCACCGAGTTTGAGCTGCTACTGTCATCCTCCATCAGGTATACGCGAGGGTCTCAAGAAGCATACATTAATTCAGGACCGTGCAAACCACTAGGAAATTTTCGTTGTCCAACATCCCGCTGAGATTACGCCAAAATAGAGGCGACCGCATCTCTGACCTCCCTAACCACCGCTTCAGCAACCACATGGTCGAGCGCGCCCTCGCCCCACGTAAACACCACGCTAACGGCGCCGTTCGGGGAGCCTGCGACGTTGACCTTGAGCGCGGCACCCGCGGTCGCGTTGCACTGCGCAAAGTGCACAGCACTGACATCCCACGGTGCTTCCGCCGCATCGTCTTCAGGTGCCTGGACGACGAACCGACCGAGGTTGCTGAGCTCGACGGCCTCGCCGCGCTTCTTGCCCAGCGCACCCGTCCAAAAGGACTCGGTCATGCCGAGGTTGAACAAGTATCGGATAGTGCCGATTGCTTCGCGCGTGCCCGCAACGCCAGCCTGCAGGCGGCTGGCATACTGTGCCGCTGTGGTCCAGGGGAAGTCGGAGGCGGCGGGTGTGAGCGACCCCAGCGGAGCGATGGGAACAAGTGATTGGAAACCTGCCGCCTCGTCGCAGACCACGTTGGGCGATGCGCCAGTGAAGCGGCGCAGCGAAACCGAGACGGAGGTCGCAACCGTGCGTGGGAGGCGTTTGTCGGTCGCTGTAGCGATGATGACATGCCGTGAGAGGAGGCCAACGAGTAGCGTATGCAAGAAGGCGGTGAGTGTGGTATGATGTTCACGGCAGAGCACGATCAGTTTTGCTGCATCGGCGGCAGAGAGCTCCCAGCACCGGACGCTTGTGGAATTAGTGGGAGTGGAAACTACGGGATTTCCGGACCATGATGAAGCTTTCTTCGTCCAGGTAAAGGGCGCAAAGGTGTCGTACAAAATCTGAAAGAAACTGCGCCATGACACCCCTACGTTTGTCAGATCTTCGACGGGTGGTACCAACGACAAGTTATCGGATGTGGGGACCAGGCTTCCAGCAATGGGTCCTCCTGTGGCTTTGTTGAGGGCAGAGACAAGAGCCCTATGGAATGCCAAGCCACTCTGTCCGTCGCCAATGCCATGGTGATACACGAACAGAACAGTTCGCCCAGAGCTGACAGTGAGACGCCACAAAGGTGTAGTAGCTCCTAGCTTAAGTGGCTTAGACATTTCTGTCTGGATAAGGCTTGCTAGCGACTCCTCGTTAGATCCTCCGTCGACGAACGAGACCACGTCGTCGAGAGCCACAGAGGGTAGGCGCGTGAACAGTGGCCTGTCCTTCGGGTCGCGGGGGAGTCGTACTTGTACTGAGAGCGCTGCGTGCTGCTGTATAACCGCGGAAAGCGCAGAATATAGCGTTTGGCGGTTGAGGAGGCTCCCAGTGGCATTGTACTTTGCCGAAACAACAACGCATGAATCGAAGCCCAACTTGCTACGGGTGATATGGTAGCATTCCAGAAGGCCTGTGCTAGCACCTGAGCGATATATTGCATCGTAAAAGACGCCCTGAACGTACCGGCCTCGCGCACTACGTTTGCAGAGTCTTCGGTCGCCATGACTGGTCACACGCCGACAGCGTGCAAGGTCAGCTTTTTATACTGTCGGGGTCCGGGTGGTGGATGGCTGACCGTGTTTCTTGCGCATCTCACAGCCGCACGCGCAGCTAGGAAAGCATAAGCAGAATCAGCGGGATTTTTGTTTAGGTCGTGGAGGTAGCGGCCGACATTGGCTGCGGTCTGCTGCGGCCCGGACTTTTACCGGCTGCCAGAGGAGGGCGCATCAGGCGCATCAAAGCGCGCGACCTCCTTGCGTTAGCGTGACGTCACGCTACTCCCGCACTTCTGTTCGCTACACCGATCCTTGCAAACTGGCGGCCTCGCTGCTACGACTCTAGATACGGCCCCATGCCTAACCATCAGACTGCTGCGCGTGCACTGAGCACCGCGCAAGAACGAAAACTGGTCGATTTCGTGGAGGATCGCTTCCTCGAACTGACGCGAAATTATAAAAAACGGTGAGCACTGGCATGACGCTTAGGTTGGACTATCATGCTAAGCGATTCCATTCAGCTCAGACCCGTCGTCTACCGTTCCAACGTTATCATGTTATCTAACCTCTTCGCACACCCTGCTCTCCTTCATCCTCCAAATACCACCAGTCCAACCGTCATCGTTCTTACGAGTCACGTTCCTACTCAGGCTGACGAGCGAAGTAATGGGCGCGATAACAGGCTACCAGCCCGCCGCTGCGGGACTTCCGCAGCTGTTATCCTGGCTCAATGATCTCGATCGTGGCTGGCTCGCCGTACTACGGTCCCAGGCGTGGGACCCTGACGCGCGAGAGGGCGTCGACGTGCCCCAGCAGACAGATGCCCTTCACGGAGACACAGGAGGTGCAATGCGCTCGCCAATGACCCAAACGGAACGAGCGCGTCTCCGCAGCCTGCTCATCTCCGGCACGGGCAGACTCGAGGAGTGGCTGGTCGAGCTCGACACTGGAGGGCAGGACTACACCGCCGTGCTCCAGACGATGGATTTGCAACAGGGCTTCGACGACTTATTCGCGGGCACGCTCACTGAGATGGGCTCCCTCAACGGAGTCATGAACGTACATGAGGGAATGGAGGGGACGTGCTGACTACGCGCGTCCGTGGCGAGGCGTGCGTCATTATCCGCGGGACGATTATACAAGCTGTACTGATACTTTCAACTCTATAGCAAACACGACCTCGCCTTCGCTAACCCGACTTGTGCTTCTTCGACTCTTTTGCCTTGCTCTTGCTCTTGGTCCTGTCCTTCACATTTTCAGTGTGCGGCTTCGGCTCTCCGGTCGCGCTCGGTACGGTAGGCAACGAGGTCGGAGTGGGGACATCCACGTGCGGTGGCTCGTACGGAGCGTAAGACGGATACACAGGTCCCGGCTTGACGTTGGACAGGTAGTTGGCTTCAACATGCTCGCGCTGCGCGAGGTAGCGGGGCAGGAGCGTGCGCTTCATCATTGTGGGCATAGGTGTGGGCGGCTTCTCGCCCTTGGGCTGCCCGATCGCCGTCTCGAACGCGGGGGACATGATAACGAGCGGCGAAGGCTCGCGCTTGACGACTTGGTACTGTCGGCCGAGCAGCATCGCAGGGTCCCCGACGGGCACAATGACGGGAGAAAAGGGCTCGCCGGACTTGGAGCGCGTGTGGAGGTGATGGTGCTCGTCCGGAGCGGATGCAGCTGGGCGCGAGTGTACAGAGAGAACGACGGAGAGTGTCGAAAGGACGAGGAGGAGGCGGCGTAACATGTTGGATGCAGAATTAGACAAATATACGATGCGGTCGTGTAGGAGTGGTGATGCGAGTGCTCGGCCAGCCAAGGAATAAATACAGTACTAGTCCAGTAGCACGATACAGGTCGTCGACGTTGCCAGCGATGGTGGTTCGAGTTGAAGTTGAATCCAGGCGAAGACGACCTGTTTCTCCCTTACAAGCGCCCAACATGTCCAAACAGGCAAACCCCTCGCCCAAATCTGCACCCCGCAACTTGACTGCGACCGACTTTGCGCACTTCACGAGCAAGCCTATGCGGCAAGTTGGGAATGTTTGCGGAGAACCGTCCGGACTGGCTTTGCGGCGGGGTTGAGCGGTTTCTTCCCGTCTTTTCGTGCCGGCTTGTTGTTGAAGCTGCGGTAGGTCAACTTCTTGAAGTTTGACCCAGCGCCGTACTCCAGACACCAGTCCATCGCCTTTTCCACCTCTCCTTTTACCGCGAGGACCTCCTCGCGCTGGTTAAACGATACTGGCTTGCGATAGCTCAGCCACAAGTACAGGGTAGTGATCTTATGCATCGTCTCCAGGTTCTCCAGGGTGCCCGGCGGAGGGGAGCGTGCGCCCTTCTGGATGAGTTTCTTGACGTTGTCCAGCTCTTGCTGCATGCCACAATCGTGGAGGAGTCGCGCATAGTCAACGTACATGTCCTCCCCATACATGCGTACGAGCCGCAGCATGACCATAACGGCGAGCGGATCGCGCCACGGGATGGGTGCCTGCTGGAGGAGATGGCGGTCGGCCAAAGTGAGAGGTGCCCCGGTCTTCTCGATGCTCTCGGACGCGGTGACACTTGTCTTGGGATCCTGCAGCTCGAAGCAAGGGTGTACACGCGAGACGTAGCTGAAGACTTGGTACACCGTGGAGATAGGCGTGCCGGGAGGCAGCACCTGCGCGACCGCTTCTACCTCTTCAAAGGCTGGGGAATACGAGGCGAACTTCAACGGGGCCGGCGTGGAGGCCAGCGCGTCGCGGACGACTTCGAGGTCTTCGTCGTAGAGAGTGGCGGCTATGCCTCCGCTGGAATCGGCACCGTGCAGACCAAATCGCCCAGCACGTCCTGCGATCTGTTTGATCGAGGAAAGACTCAAAGGCTGCATGCTAGATCCGGACCATTTACTAGTCGTGTCGAATACGATGCGTTTGATTTTCCTAACGGGAGACGTGTGAATATGCAAGACGGTGTGAGGAGGATAAACTTACAAATTCAGCCCCATGCCAATAGCGTCACTACCGACCATTAAATCGTATCCACTATTCGGATCGTTGAATAATGCAGCCTGCTCGGTCCTGATTTCTGGAGGCAAGCGTCCATAGGCCACCGCACACTTCATCCCGGTAATCTTCTCCACTTTTTGCTTCGTCTTGAAGATACCCGATCGTGAGAAACAGACGAAACAATCGCCCTTCTCCGCCTTCGAGTAGTCGCCTTTGAGAGAGGCGTTGGCGCACTGTAACGGGGAGAGACGTTCATA